ACGTGGCGAAACGACTTCACTTGGCGGAAAATTACAGTCTTTAGGATATGACACGGTGCCATCACACATTCATCGATGTCCGCTTAAAGACGAACGTTATTTTCGTGGTGGCTATTGTGTGCAAAAATATGGCTCACGCCATCGGGAACAAGTGATAGACGCCATACAGCTAGAGTAAGTTTCTTTATGAAACTCAATACTTGAGTGAGGTGCGTTTTTATCACGAAACTGTTATTAATCTTTGTGTTCATAATAATAGAATTCCAAGAAACCTAAGATTTGGAAATAGTGAAACACAAAAAAACTTTTTGATGGCATTGGTAGAAAGCATTTCATCTTTTCTAAAAGAACATTACTAAATTCATATATATGTTCGGCGAAAAAAATGATATTCTGTAAATAGCTATAGCAATTGTTTCTCTGGGATATCATTGATTGGGAATTTATGATCAAAAAAAAGTAATACATCACGAATTCGCGTGAATCATTGCTTGTACATATAAATGCGGTTTTCGGAGACAACGGGTATGCATTGGTGCTGTATAAATTAATATCTCGATTTGATATCGACATTATTGGTCAGTGAGAGTTTCACATTCCTTCGTCGATTATTATTCATACTCCACAGGCACAACTAATTCTATTTTTTTTTAATAAAATAGGCTTCAGACCGGTTACATTAACATATTGTTTTTTTAAATAACTTAGGCTTCAGACCGGTTACATTAATATATTGATTTTTTCTCAAGTTAATTTAGAATAACGAGTCCTATATTCAAAAAAAGATCTGTATATATATATTTTTTAAATAGAAATTAATAAAAATCTATTTTAAAAAAACTATTTAAAATCTCCACACTAATCCATTAATTACATTGGTAACATATTTGACAATTTAGATTTAATAATAACATTTTTAATCATGTTAAAAAAAAATTTTTTTTATTTCAACTAATTTGTTGATTATTATAAGAGCTTAATCTAATACAGTAAAAAGCTCGCTAAATGCATTCTCCTAAATGCACTCACCATGTTTTACCTCTCTAAGTGCACATCCCCTTTAAATTCAAATGGCCCCAAGGGGTATGCATTTAGGGCGGGTTTACTGTATATGGTATAATCGGTTGATGTATTATTTATACATTAAATTAGAGAGAAATTTCCAATTATTTTTAAAATTAAGTCTAACTTAATAAATAAACAAATAAATTAATTAATATTTTAGAGTAAAGAAACCGAGTGTTAATAGTTCGTAAAACAAATAAATATACAGTACATAAATTTGGTTAAAAGTATCTTCCATTAAGGAATAATAAAAAACAATCGGATTTTCAAATAACGTTGCTAATTTTTTTTGGACTCATTGAGTAGGAAGCCCAAGTTTTTGTAATGAGTTTTTGCAAAACGAATGATGTAAATGTACAGTTCGTTTTGTAATCGATATGCCGCATCATATACAATTTCTGCAAATCACAATATTTTTGTGATCTCTTGATAAAAAAATATTTATTTTATTGTATTTTATAATAATATTGGATACATTATTGATAATTATTATTAGTTATTACTAAATAAAAATTAGCAATTCCTATATTTACATATAAATGGTTCCATTAAATAATATCCATAAGAAAATTCTACAGGTTTCATTTACAGTATATTTTCTGTTTATAACCATATGACATTTTTGCATTTATAAATTCTTTTTTTACCAATGTTTTATATGTTTTTACAATAGCCACAAATCTTGAAAATATATAGTGGTACCCGTAAGTTTTGATAAAATTTTTTAAAAAAATTAAAAAATATATTATTATTTAATAAATATTAATCTAAAAAATACAAAAAAATTTAGAATAAATCTTTTAGTATTAATAA